TTATCTATGGTTAATCCCAATAGTTTAACAGTCTCTTTGTTAACTAGATCATTGTGTAAATTACTTGCAGCAAACCATGAGCTAGATTTAGTAGTAACTTCCTCATGAGACATTTTTAAATCATCATTATTTTTTCCTGATATAACGTATGTCGTATCATCTGCGAATTGTATGGTTTTGTACGGAGATATGAATTTAGGCAGATCGTTGACATAAATAATAAACAAAAGAGGTCCTAAGACCGAACCTTGTGGGACTCCATGTTTTACGGATAGAAAATCAGAGAGATGACCTTTAGACACTACCGCCTGGTGTCTGCCACATAGATAAGAAGTTATAAGCTTAAGAGGGATACCTCTGATTCCATAGTAATTTAATTTGTGGAGCAAAATGTCGTGTGAAACGCAGTCAAAAGCCTTTGATAAGTCACAAAGAGAAATTGCTATGCGATTGCCGCGTTCAAGCTCCTCAATCACCTCGCTCACAACATTAACTACCGCGTTCGTAGTAGAACGAGCACTTCTAAATCCATATTGTGAGTTGCTAAAGTAATTATTTGACTCAAAATAGAAATAAAATTGTTGTTTGATAACCTTTTCAATCACTTTCCCAAAAGTAGAAACAATGCTTATGGGTCTGTAATTGTCAATTTTTGAGGAATCACCTTTTTTGTAGATTGGTAGTACTTTTGAGTATTTTAGTACTTCTGGAAATACTCCGGTGGATAGAATTAAATTAATAAGATGAGTAAAAGGTGTTAAAACTATTTGGTAAGTTTCTTTTAAAATTTTGCTATTAATCTCGTGAACGTCCCTACAATTAGAATTACTAAGCGACTTTATTATTTGAGAGACCTCTTCTTCCAGAACGGACCGAAAAAAAATGACTTGCTCGGAGAAGGATAATTTCTATAATTGACGAGGACATCGATGTTAATGGTGGGAAGAGATGTAATTATATTCTCTGCAATTGTACTAAAAAATTGATTCATTTCGTCTGGAGGTAGATCAGGTTGTACCGAACTGGATTTAGTGTAGTTTCTTTCGAAATTTACTATTTTCCAGCAGTCTCTAGGTTTATTATTGGAATTAGTAATAAAATTACAGTAAGCTGACTTTTTAGCAATTTTTAATTGCCGATTATATTCAACTTTTTGTTGTTTATATACTTTGAACAAATCGGGATCCTTAGTGGCCTCTGCAATGTGTTTGATAAGAGAAATATTAGATCTGTTAGACCTTAATTCATTATTAAACCATTGCACAGGTGCTTTTTCAGTCATTTGTCGTACTTTTTTTAGTGGAAAATACTGTAATATTAAATTGTTATAAGTTTCGGTAAGAAAGACTGTCAAAGAATCAGGATCATTATTAATATCGTAGAAAAAGTCCATGTTTGTAATAGCTAGCGCACGTTTAAGCTTCTGTAAACCAGAAGAAGTAATAAACCGTTGAAATATTTGATTAGTGTCAATAACTTTATGCTCTGAGTCAATAAATAAAAATTGAGCTCGATGGTCAGAAAAACAAGGTTCAAATACGCCCACTCTATATATATTTTCAGAAAAATTTGTCATAATGTTGTCAATGCAACTTCTGGACTGGGATGTGATTCTAGTATAATCGTTTATAGTTATTTTTAGACCAAAAGATGTTAACAGATTTTGAATATCAAAAAGATGGTCAGATTCAATTTTAAAATTTATATTAAAATCTCCAAGTATGATTAGTTTGTCAGCTTTACTAAGCAAGGATGTTATGACATTTTCAAAATTCACCAAAAATAAGTCAAAGTCACCCTTACCCGATCTGTATACAGTTAAAATATTGGTTTTTATTGAAGGTACATAAATTGCACAAAACTCAGAACTTTGCTCTACATTATATTCATTTAAATTAAGAGAAGAATACATAAGATTTTCTTTTATATAAATTGCAACTCCGCCTTGTTTCTTTTTTACCCTACAAAAGAAATTAGCTAATGAGAATCCGGAGATGTTAATTAATTTTAAATTTTCTTCACTTAGCCAGTGCTCCGAAAAACATATGACGTCATATAATCTTTGATCCGCAAGATAAGCATTGATCATATCGACTTTATTTGAAATACACTGCAAATTAACATGAAACATGCTTACCGTACCCTTTCGAATTTGTTTATTTTGATGAAAGTTTGTAGAAGCTTCTAGGTTTCTTCCTCCGTCTTCTTTTTGTGCTGAAAATTTCTGTTGAAGTTAAATATAGATATAGACACGTATAGACACAGATACATAGGATTTGTTTGCGTGAAATCAAATATTTGCTGCCTTTTTTCATTTTATTCGGATTTACTCTGTGTGAGTATTAGAAGCACAATTCGCTAAGGATTTCTGCTTAGTTGTAAAAGACATGTCGTGGAATGCAAATTTTAGATTCCCCATGTCTCTTTTAACATCTTTTATCAACGTCTGTTTGCCTTGCAATTTTTAAAACGCTCAGATTATAAAGCAGAAATCTGAATTGTGTTTCGAAACTATTTTACGATTACTGAGTAATCTTTAAATACTAATTCCCTAAAAACACAAAAATTAACCGTAATAACAAGGTAGTGAAGAATATAAATTTTATATGGTTTATCAAGTTCAAATTTCTAGAATTTAAGACGGTCCTGATAACTTACAAATTGTCAACATTGGAAGATTTATAAGGGGGTTATTGCTATTAGTTTTCCATTATTTTTAACAGGCCGTTAATATAATGAAGGCGCTATAGTTGTGATCATTCTTTACCACTTTATATTATTTATTTTCATAAATATGATACTGAGAACTTAACCTAATGGTCGTTAACGGAATAAAAATTGATTCTTTATTTAATACCAGGATTACTAGGACCAAAACTTGTCGAAAGTTAACCTTCCGCACCCTAATAAAATGACAAAACCGATGAAAGGAGTTACTTCGAACTTGTACGCTAGTTAAAGACAGACGTGACTGTAATGAAAAGCTAGGACACCCGGCAGATACTCATCGTAACACAAGAATCTTGATTGTACTCGTTGGTAATTTTGGGAAGCACGAAGTACGGAGGATAAAAATATTTGTTTTTATTATGAGTAAATCTTACACTCGAAAATATAAAGGAAGATAAAAAAATTGTTTTTTTGGAAGTAAAATACATTACATAACAAGCATACAATTAGAATAATTTACATTAAATATGTAATGGATTTGACTGTTACTTGATAAAAGTTCATTTTATCAAATAAACCCTTTTCGACACGAATTTTTTAAAACGACATACCTATAATTTTTTTTAAGTTTTAGCGATTATTAGAAATATTTTTCTACAATTTTTAAGCTGCTCAGGAAATTTGTCAAATTTGACATTCTGAGTTACGTCATGTACACTGCAGTAGGGATGGGAAAAACCTACCGGTTTTAACCGAAAACCGATTTTTTTACTTCGCAATAACCGGTTTTACCGGTTGTTTTTTTGTCCCGGTTATAACCGGTTTTTTATTTTTAAAGTAAAAACCGGTTATTAGGTTTTTACGGTGATTAGTATTAGGTTTAGTATTATTTTGGATCTCAATCATAATTATTATTATTCTGAAGTAATTATTCCAAACAAAGCCATAATTCAAATTTTATTTTATTTTGTCAATACAGAAACAATCTGAAAGTGCAAACTCACATCAGTCAGAATAATATTTCGTTCAAAACGTATTTGTAATCATAATATTTACATAAGAAGTGATCTGGTATTACACATCATCTATTTTTCACACTTGACTCTTGACATTGAAAGTGGCTGAATGGCTTTTTCTAATTACCAAAAATAATGTTTTGACTATAAATATCGAATTACCGATTACGAATACGAATCTCCAAGAATTTCACTACGGTTTCAAAACCTATACAGGAAGTATTAAATGAGTTAAAATGTACCTATTATAAAGATATACAAACGTTTTAAAAATAACGCATGATAAATTTCTTTTGATGGTAGTAAAAATAAAAGATGAATTGCATTATTATCCAATTTATGTTTAAGTAAAATATTTATGTTGATATTATTTTTTTTTAAATTCCATTTGAAAGAGTCTGGGAAATTTTTAAAAGTTGAAATGGTTGGGGAATTTTTTGCATATTATAATCTACTCTCGTAATAATATATTCAATGACAATGGAACCTGAATTATTTCAGCCCTCTCTGTTTAGCAGTAGTATAATAATTTTGTTTTACTGTTCTCTACATCTCATCACCGAACAACTTGTTTGGTGATCTCGCTACTAAAATTCACAAATCTTTGGGATTCACACAAATTAAATTGCATTTCGAACCAAGTAATCAAGCAATTACCACGACCACATTGACTGTGATCATATTTAGTAGAAAACTACTTTTTTGGTAGATTTTTGACGTAAATTTACAATTTTTAGTAGGGAAAAAATCTTTGGTAGAATCTAGTAGTTTTTACTATAATTTAGTTAATTATAATTTCTACTTCTGTTTCGATTCGGAAATCTATTGTTTAAATTTGTTATCATCACAAAAAATTTGATATTATTTTCAATACGTTTTTATTAAAATTTATTTGATACTTTCCTGTATTGTTTAAAAATTAAATGGAAATAATGAGAAATCCCGGAAATTCGTAATTGTAATTTGATACCTAAACCATAACAATTAACATCATTGGGTATCGACACGTATTGGTAACTATAAATCATTCACCCACTCTTAAAATTTTATGTATATATGGTAAATATTATGACCTAAATTAAATTCTGATCTGATGTGAGCCGCCTTTGGTCCCATAAAATTTGAATTATGGATGTTTGGAATAATACCACCTAATTATTTAAGGTCTTTAACTTTTAAACAGCGTTTCTGCGATTGCCATACCAATAATCACTCTATACAGTTTCATTGTCAGTTACACTTTAGAAGTGCCCAAATAAACATAGTTATAACGCTGTTTTATTTTCATCAAGTTTCGAATTTTTCATTTTTGCCATGTCGAAATCGTTTGTGTGGAATTTATTTTCAAAGCGTAGCACAAATGAGGCACAGTGCTCTATTTGTTTGAAAATATTAAAAACAGGAGGAGGCACAACGAATTTGAGACAGCACCTAAAAAATAAACATCCAAAACATCTGGAAAATAAGCCGAAGGTAAGCTCATTTCATAGAAAAATTTAAGTAAAAGAATTAATAGGGGAATTTTGTTTTTGCTTAGGATAAAGAACTGGCAGACATCGGAACTTTTTTGCACAGAAGCGATCAGGAAGCATCTTCATCTGCTTCTGAGGCGAGTGTGAGCTCTGCTTCATTTTGTTTGCCTTCGTCTTCGAGGACCTTCGTTCACGAACAATCAGATCAGTCTAGCCGTTCTAGATCACCAACTCCCTCGCCTTCGCAGAAAAAGCAAATGACGCTGTTGCATTACCAACAAAGGAACTCTAGCTATGAGAGTAAGTTGCATCATGAATTTTAGTATTCTTAGCTATTAAGTATCAATTTAATTATTTCTTATAGGGGGTGGAAAACGTGACCTCGAACTGACCAATGCACTAGCATTTATGATTGGTAAAGACAATTTGCCACACTCTAGTGTGGAAAAAGAAGGATTTGCCCATTTCATGAAAATAGCACTTCCGTTATTTAAAGTGCCAAGTAGAAAAACAGTAAGTATTTGATACATCTGTATGTATGCTGTAAAGTTGTTCCAAACAGTTATGGTCTTACAGGTTACAGAAATACTAAGCGGTAAATACTCTGCTGCTATGGATATAATACGGGCAAAATTTTCGGAAGTGACTCACTTTTCCCTCACTGCTGACATCTGTACAGTGACGAATACGTCAAAAGGATTTTTGGTTATAACTGCACACTTTATTGGTAAGATTTTTAAAGTGAATACTTCTTTGTTTGAATTGTTTGGTATGAGCCTATTTAGGTATAAATTTTAATTTTATTAATATTATATTTTTAATTATATAAATTAATATAGATACCTACCTAATATATTTTTTATAAAAGTTTGAGAACGACTGGAAACTATTGAAATTAAATAGAATTTTTAATATTAAATAGAATTAAAAAGAATTTGATAAAATGATATAAAATTAAATTAATTAAAAAAAATCAAATAAAATTAATAAAATAAATGAAATTAGATACAAAAATTAAATAGAACTAAATGATCTTTTTTGTACAGTGATGAGCGCGCTAATAACCGGCAAAATCACGCAAACTATGAAAAACATATTAAGTTGTGAGATTAAAAGAAATAAAACTAGAAGAGTTGAGAAATTTAGCGATAAAAACCTGTAAATTTACATTCTATTGATTGTTTCCCACCTTTAGACGTATCAGAGGAATATGTCACTAAAATTGTCACAGTGGCAGTTACCAAACTCGTCCGATACGTCTAGAGGTGGGAAACAATAAATAAAATATAAGTTTGTAGGTTTTTATCGCTAAATTTGTCAACTCTACTAGTTTCATTTCATTTTATCTCACAACTTAATATGTTTTCCATCTTTTGCGTTATTTTGCTGGTTATTAGCGTGCTCATCACTGTATCAAGTTTCTGAGTTACACACAATTTTTATTGCAATTATTTTATATTCATGAACAGATCCTCAAGAACATAACAGCCTTGAGACAATGATGTTGGGTGTGCGACGCCTTCGGGAACGGCATACCGGGGATTATATCTGCCAAACCATGAATGAGGTCCTCGATGAATTTGGTATCCCTTTGGCTAGGGTTGTTGGCATATGCACGGATGGTGGAGCGAACATGCTGGCTGCAGTAAAGAAGTTACTTGGAGAGGGCAAAAATGTACATTGTTTTGCACACATATTAAATTTAATTGTCACAGATGGCCTAGAAGATGTAAACAATGTAGCATTAAAAAATTTAATAAACGAAATAAAAGCCATAGTCACTTTCGCTAGGCACAGCAATCTCTTCATGGAAAGGTTAAGGATGGAGCAGGAACGGGAGGGCAAGTCAGAGGGTGAAGTGAAGCTTTTGGTACAATCCGTACCAACCAGATGGAATTCTGTCTACCATATGCTTCAGAGATTTACACTAATGTCCCCATATATAGCTGCAATATTGGCAGATCCCTCGATTAAAAAAGCACCAAGGATGATTTCTGGTTCAGATATAAAACTAATTACCGAAATCGTAGCCATTTTATCGCCTTTCGATGAGGCCACAAAGGAGATCTCGGGTTCTAAATACATTACTGCTAGCCTTGTTATCCCCCTTGTGACTATTATCGAAAGATCTTTAAAAAACCTTAAGCCAAATCTTGGTACAGCCCAAAAGTTATGTCAAAAGCTTATAACTAGCCTTCAAGAGAGGGGCACTAAGCTTTTACGAAACCCTCTGCTTTGCCATGCTACAATTACAGACCCGAGGTTCAAAAAACTATATTTGAATCCGTCTATAGCGGAGTCAGTCACATCCAATTTAGTCTCGGAAGTTAGGACGTACCTTACCGAAATCGGAAAACTTTCTCCTTCCTGCTCCGTTCAGAATGAAGAAGCCAAAGTGAGTTTAAAATCAAACCCTCTTTGGTCTTCACACGATCTGGAGTTGGTAAACAGTAGTTCCAGTTCAAGTTCTCAGGGAACACGGATTCAAAGTTCTTTTCCAAAAGAACTGACTTTATATCTGCAGCAGCCTTTGCTGCCGAGATTAAGTGATCCGTTTTCATTCTGGGACCAGAACAAAAATTGTATGCCAGGCTTGGCTTTTATAGCTAAAAAATATATGTCTTTGGTCGGAAGTTCGGTGGCATCAGAGAGACTGGTGTCATCATTGAATGATATTGTATCAGATGAGAGAAGCCGCTTAACCGACCAACATATATATGAACGAGTTTTTCTCAATAGGCTTCATGAAAAATACTGGCCAACATAATGCTAAATCCATTTCATATAATATAACCTATTTGTAACCTTCTAACCTATACTTTTTTACTTAAAATATTACTTCATTCTACTTATATTATACTTTTTTTATATATTATTGCAATATGTATTGTATATGTTAATCTTACGCTATATTATATTTAATAATATTCAATAAATATATAATAATAAAAAAATAATAAATAAATATAATAATTAATAAAATAAATTGTTTTATTAAAACTTGTGTTTTATTTATATAATAATGTTCTTTTGATAGTACTAATTTTGATCATATTGAAATCGAGTCGAATAAAGTATCGCAAGCTAAAGTGCATTGTTAATGTAACTTTGTAACCTATTGGATTAAAAAAAACCGAAAACCGGTTTTTGGAAAAACCGGTTTTTTTTGGCCGGTTATAACCGCCAGGTTAAACCGTAAGCAAAAAAAACCGGTATAACCGAAAACCGGTGTTTTGTCAAAAACCGCCATCCCTACACTGCAGTGTACACAATGATTAACAGACACATATCAATATGATATGAGTTTTATTTATAAGACAGTAATTGACAAAAACTATTTATTTGGTATGAAAATCTGTAAAACAGTTTTGATTTCGAGCAATACATAATGATACTTGACATTTTGTGCAACGAATATACGTTCTTGATCCACAGTTGCTTCCTTTACAACGAGCGATTTTGTCACAGAAAGTCGGTAAATGACCAAAGTTATCATAACGAATATCTTCAATCGGACGCACTTGTTTACCAGAAGGACCTGCTGCGTTACCTACAGGAGAACTACCTTGAGGATGTAGAGGATTATTTGAAACTAGTCTCCCCCGTTTTTTGCTGGGTAATTTTCCTGGCAAAATAAGTGCCTCAGCAACGTGTTGTCGAAAATGTATAAGGTCCATGACATTTTTTTGCGGTATTTTCAGCTCCTCCGATTGCTTTTTATATTCCAACCAGCTCTTGGTGACAGCCATGTCAACAGCATGTGACATTAATCGAACAGTCCATTTCTTTGTTCTGATAAACAATCTGTACAAAGAAATAAGAAAATCGCACGTGTCAACACCTTCCATCCCATTTTTATAAAGAGAAACTACTTTGGGGCGTGTCACTTCAATATACTCTTTTATCTTTTTATCCCATCTTCCACATACATCAGAAGAACCTACTCCAACGAAATTGGAACTCAGAGTAACAACTCCGCTATCAATTCACTTGGTTAGTACAACATCAGATTTTGTGCAGATAACGTTCTCGACGAAACCCCTGGTAAGTTTCTTTTTATTCTCTTGGCACATAGTAAAAGGTGCTTTAGAAAAGTGGTCAAACCGAATTGTACCAGCGGCATATATTGGTTTCTTTGACAAACATTGAAATAACCAATAAGAACTGAAATTATTGTCAAAATAAAGTTGTGCTCCTGGAGGTATTTGCTCGGATAGGTGCATTACTACAGCCAAAGATTGGCCAAACAACATATAATCTCCCTTCAGTTCTGTAGTTGCACCTTGGTAGACGATGAAATCATATATTATTCCATTTATCCCACATAATAGGAATAATTTTATACCCCATTTCGTCGGCTTATTTTTAATGTATTGTTTAATATTCACAGCACCCTTAAAAGGAACCATTTGTTCATCGATACTATATACCTCCTTCGGTTCCAACTGCCTGCATCTTTTTCTTATGGTATTGAAAGGGGGGCGTACTTTCCACAGTCGGTCTTCCGACTGTTGATCTTCGTTGGAAGTGAAATGCATCGTATTTCTTAGTTTGAAAAATCTGTTTACTTGCATATTTTCAGATATTAGAGGAACTGCAAATTTTTGTTCCCAGTACATTCGGACTTTCGGATAATTCAAATTACCCATTATTAACAGAATTCCAAAAAATGTCTTGACTTCTGCAATGTTTGTAGCGGGAAAGTTTGGCACAGAGCTAACAATAGCATATAAGTTTGTTTTTTCTACGCAGATATTGAGGAGCTCATCCGTGAAATACTGGTAAAAAATTTCTACTGGACTGGGTAAACTTATCACTTCTTGTTTCTTACTCTTAAAACTTTAAAAGATCTGACGACGGTCCTGTCGTCTTTGAAACGGCATAGCTTAGTTTGGCAACGACTTATTTCTGAGGGAGATTAGAAATTACCGTTAGAATTTATTTTTAGAAGTACTCACCTTTTGGGAGCCTACCTGTAACAACCCTAATTCATTATCATTCGGTTTCCAGTCATAGATGTAACAACGTAGTGTTAATTTATATTAGTAATATTTTAGTTGTGTTATTACAAACAATTAAGTTTTCTTTCTTTATATTATAAAAACAGTTTATATAACAGTCACATAGAAGTAATTAAATAGTTTCATGTACGGTCTTTTGTTCTTTACTAAAACCACGGGAAGTCCAAATAATATTTAAAAACAAGTAACTGGAAGAACTCAAGATTCCCGGTTTTCCACTGAACAGTTACCAACATTTCTGGTCCTTCGATTTGGATGCTTGCTGCCTAGGAAATACGAAATATCAAAGGTTAGTGCTTTTCCTTTTACCACTATTTCATTTTTTTACATTTTCACATGAGATTTACATTTGATTTGTTTCAATTCGGTGGAAAACTACTTCTATCTTAATTGTTTGTTATTAATCACTATTTTGTACAACACACAATACATTTATTTGAATATTTTACTTGGTATAAACGCGGTGTTGTGGTATTACAGGGTTTTATTCCTTATTTTCCATTTAAAAATAACTAATTTGATTTATTTTTAAATAAATTTTTGCATTCTTACACCACATCACTCAACATATATATTTTTACATCACATTTGGATATATTTAGTACAATTTGCTAATTCACACACACTTTTGGGTTATATAACCAATACGGTTCGTCATTTGCGACTCGTAGTCACATATTATCGTCTTTTTTACATCCTTTCTGGATAGATTTGACATACTTTCTTTTTTTACAACTTTTGGGTACTCTTTACCAACCGATTCGGCTTTCCAGCGATTCGGGCACGCTTTATAAATAAATAAAGATACATTTAACACTTCAATCGTTTAAACATTTTCTGTGCTATTTTATTACATCAGATTTATTGTTTTATATCTTTTTAAGCACAAAAAATTTACATTTAATTACATTTTCATTTAACACACAAGTTAAAATACTTAACATTGTACCTTACATATTTTATATTTAATAAATTTACTTTTTACTATGGCTGAAGCTGCTGATAATGCTAAAATTAAACGCACTTCAATTAAGGGCACTTTAACTCGTTTCTCGAATTATTTTAACTCTGTCAAAGAGTTACCTTTAACTGAAATTAACTTTAGGGATTTACAGTTGCGCCTTGAGAAAGTTGAGAAGCTCTATGACGATTTTGACAATGTGCAATCAATTATTGAGGCCGCTGACCCAAACTACACTGCAAATGCATCTACTATTCATGACAGGGAACGAGCATCTTTTGAAAATCCATTCTTTTCTATCACTGGCCTAGCTAGAGAACTTCTTGCCAAACTTTCGACTCCTCCTGCTGGTCAGATATCCCAATCATCTACACCTTCTACAAGTGAAGTTACCATTTCTCATCAAAATGTACGTTTACCCACTATTAATTTACCTTCGTTTGAAGGCGACTACGACACTTGGCTATTTTTTCGAGACACTTTTAACTCCATCATCCACACAAATTCCGAACTTTCGAACATTCAGAAATTTCACTATTTGAGACTATCCTTAAAGGGCATTGCTGCAGACACAATACGCAATTTAGATATTTCTGATGCGACATATGCCACAGCATGGTCACTTTTAAGGGAAAGGTTTGAAAATAAACCACTTCTGGTTAATAATCACATCAAAAAGCTCTTTAATTTACCCAACATTTCTAGAAATTCACATAATGATTTGCGAGCCCTATTAGATGGTTTGCAACGGCATCTACGATCTCTTGAATCTTTACAAATAGACATTACAGGTTGGGATCCTCTTATTATCTACTTAGTCACTACAAAATTGGACAACACATCTCACCGCGAATGGGAACAATCATTGAAAGACAACGCTACAAATTTGCCCACATTAAGTGAGCTCACAGAATTCTTAAAAGGAAAATGTAGAGTTCTGGAATCTCTTAATAATCACGACGATAAACTTCGCACCAAAGCAAAATCTTTTGTATCTACGAACAATAATAGCAACACTTTAAATTGTTCATTATGTTCACAAAATCATCTTATTTATTCTTGTCCTAATTTTAGTAAATTACAGCCAACCTCTCGCTTAAATGAAGCAAAACGTTTAAAACTTTGCATCAATTGTTTACGTTCTGGACATCCTACTAAAAACTGCAAATCTTCTGGCTGTCGCAAATGTGGT